AGAGGAGTCTAATTGGACAAAAAAGGATCATAGGATTTTAGAGAAGGAAAGGACCTTGGAAATCATCTACCCTATGCCCTCACTTTACACATAAAAAGTCCTCACTTCCCGAACTAATAAATTACCAAGTTTTTTTGGTTTTGTTTTGTTGTCTACTTCCATGGCATCTTTCATATGCTTCCCCTTCTTTTTAGTCACAGCCCTGGTTTAGACCCATCTCCTCTCCCCTAAACTACTACAGTAGCTTCATAACTGGTCTCCTTATCTCCAGTATTTCCTTTCTCTAATACATCCTCTACACTAGTGGTATTAAACTCACATAGAAATGGGGCCACTAAACCATACCATAAGGATTTCTTCCTTAGAAAACCACATATTAACATTATCTATGTTCTACTATATTTTAATTATTGTATTAAATATTTCCCAATTACATTTATTTTATCCCCTTCCCCAATTAAAATAGATAAAAAGAAATTGTTTTATCCAGCTCAATAGCCAAACAGAAAATAGAGAAAGTATGCATAAGAGAATACACATCAGACAATACAGAGTGAAGAACTCTCCCATTTGAGAGTAAGGTAACCCAGTTCAACCCAGAGAAAGAGTCCTAGATCTCACCCAAGGGAAAGTTTCCCAAAGGTTCTAGTGTAGCAAGATGGGAATAAGGACAAGGCAGAGACTGCCAGCTCCTCCCTTGTTGGCTTCTTCCCAAAGTTTTATCTTCCTTCAGCAAGTTAAGTGGGCTTTTAATCTGGTTCTGGCCTCACTGGAGAGTGCTGCCTCCTGCAATGCTACCCTTAGACTTCATGTTTAACACCTATGCTCCACATAGCTACCAAACTGACATTTCTAAAGCACAGGTCTAACCATGTAACTCGCCTCATGTAACTCCCTATATACAAACTCCTGTGCATTTGTAGCAGGGGACTGGCACAAGCGTCAGTTACAGAATCTCTCCATATTCTCCTATGTCCCTGTAAGGTACCTCCATTACATGTCATCCCTTGTCTCCTGGAAGCATTCTCCCCAGCCTCTTCCACCACAGGGAGCGGCATCAAAGGCACCCCGCACACTTGTCAGTTCCCCATTCCACTCTTTATTTGAAGTCCTTCATAATCCAATTCATCCTTTGAGACTGATTTCATATTATCATCCCTCACTAACTCTACATTGCAGCCACACTGGCCACCTTGCTCTTCCTGGGAGATAGCACCCCATCTCCTTTCTCTGCAGAGGCTGCCTCACATTGGCCTTTGCAATATCTATGTCCCTTCAGTTCGAGCACTACCTCCTACGAGAGGCCTTTCCCAACTACCACCACCACCACTAAAAAAAAGACTATATATTTATTTTATATACTTATTATTTTATATATTTATATTATATATTAACTATTTATAAATTTTGTTACACTTATATTTATTATATTTCTAGGCTTTATGTTTACATATTTATTTTATGTATGTATATTTATTATTTTCTATATTTATATTATATATTAAATATTTATAATATCTTTATTATATGTATACTTTATATTTATATATTTATGTTTATCTATGTACATGTTGTTCATCCCTAGAATCAGGAAAATGCCCTAAGGATAGAGGCTGTTTCATTTTCTCTTTGTATCTTCATCATATGACATATAGTTTAGATAGATAGATAGACAGACGGACGAATGGACAGACAGACAGACAGATAGACAGACAGACAGATAGATCTTTTCTGATGAACTGTTGTCTAGCCCTTGTGTTCCAAACTTAAATTTGTTAAATTATATTTTTAAAAAATCAAGTATAAGACTTTACATTTGTCATTATCATTTAATAGATAGAACCTAGTGCTTTATGCAATTGGTATTGGTGGCAGGGGTGGGGCAATATCTTGACTGTCACTAAATGTATATATTTATACCTCCTAGCTTTGTCAAACAGAACAGTGCCAAGCAAGTTAAAATTTAATAATTAATGACTTCTTTTTGAATTCAACCATTCAACTAGCTCCAAACCCACCTAAATTGACTATCATTTATCCCACATTTCTCCATCTTGTCCACATGAGAAAACTTTGTCAAATGTTTTGCTAAAATTTAAGGTGCAAAATCCCTCTGGTTTATTAGCCTAGAAATCCTGTAATCAGTTTGGTATGACCTATTTTCAATGAAGGAATGCAGACTTTGTGATCATTGCTTCATTTTTTGATGACCACTGACTGTCCATTTAAGAATACATTCTACAATTTCGTGAGTAATAGAAGTCAAGACCACAGGCCTATTACACTCTGCTCTCTCTCTGTCTCTCTGTCTCTCTCTCCATCTCTCTTATCTGGACATTTGTACTTCCCTTGTCACGCAGTACCTTTCCTATTATTTTTAGGAGACTGTACCTGTGATTTCCTTGGTACAGGGAACTCCTTAGTGATGAAGCTTCCTCTGTCAATTCAGGTCAGCACCTTCTCTGCAACTTATAATCTTAAGAGCCGCCTAGAAGGTTATGACTTGCCCAGGTTTAAACAGGCAGTACATGTCAGAGGCAATGCATGAACCCAGATATTCCTGACTTTGAAGCCAGCCCTCTCTCCACTATGCTATGCTGCCTTCCATGTGCTGTTTTTTACATACTTTCAAATATTACTAATGGTATCTCAGCAGTCAGTTCCTAATGATCCAAGTCTTGTAACTTGAACTAATCAGAAGCAGCTATACTCTTTCATACTATTTCTCTACTTCTCTGGGGTTTCAACTGCTTCTTAGCCATTTTTCCAAATACCTTTCCAGTCTAGAGATCATTCTCCTTAGAAAGGAAAACAGGAGCAAAATGAAGAGTTGAGTAGCTCTGATTTCTTTTGTTCATCCTTCATCATAATTTCAGCTATCTCATCAGTAATCCTATCTCTCCTTTGAGCCTCCTCTTTTCCTCAATTGAGATAACAATAATCTTTTCCTTTTCCCCCCTTGCTTTCCTTGCCAGGTTTTGCACTTTCAGAGCTTTAGCAGTCCTGGCACTGCTCTTAAAAGACTATGCCTTAATTTTGCTTTCATTTTCCATTACCTGCCTTTCCTTGCATCTTCTAAACAAATAATTTTAAAATCTAATTGGGCCAATAAGTTCACTAAGTGTACTTTTGTCTCATTCATCAACTCCTCCTTTTCCTTATCATGAAAATTGCTTCTCTTCAAAATTTCGTTTTGGAGAATTTGCCAACTAGTCTGTCTGTAAATCAAGGGTGCTGATATAATTCATAATCTAGAGTCTATATATTTCTATGCCTATATATTTCAAAAATATTTTGATAACTGTTTTTCAATGTAATTGGTTTCCTTTGTAATCTGATACATTTTACTTCATAAATATAAAAACATTATTCTGAGAAGGGGTCCATCCATAGGCTCTGCCAGACTGCCAAAGGGGTCTATAACACACAAAAAAAAATTCAAAAGCCTTTGAAATCTGCTCTCCTCAAACCTAGAAGATTTGTCTGTCTATGCTCAACTTTCCTCTCTTCTATCACAGATCCTAAGGTGGAGTGATCACTTCTCCCCTGAGCTTCCCATGATTTCCACCCTAGAATAGAAGTTCTCCAAAATTGGTTCCTCCACTCTTTTAAATACTTAGTTACTATTAAAATGAGTCAAGAAAATTTTAGCTTGCCCTGCTTTAGGGAGAGAGAATTCAGAGATGAAATAATATGACAAAGTTGCAACCTACTCTGAAAACACTATATTTTCATTAATTCACACTTATTCCAACTCTTATAGGGAGTTATTTCCTCTGTAAGACTCCCACATACATCAAAGTGGAAAAAGGTAGAATGTCATGCAAGGATCACTTTATGGGGTTACTAGAAATTAGAGACAGATTATATAGAGGAGGACCAATTGTTCATTCTTCCTTCTCAAAGAGGACCAATGACATCACGAGGGTGATGTCTTGACTTGAGAGTGGATTTGTGCAGAGCTGCACAAAGTCATCCACCTCACTCTTTCCTCCAGAGTCATCTGAGTCCAGTGGCAAGACAAAAGTCAGGTTGACTGGTGATGTCCCAGGAAACACCCATATACGTTAGATCTCAACAGGCAATGCTGAGAGGCTATAAGCCTTCAGATGCAGAAGTCTAACTTAATTACCTAGTGAACTTGTTACTTCCCTCCTTTGCCGGTCTTGTAATGAGATTACCTTGCCCTGAATTTCAAGGTACTCAGGAACTGAAAGACATGCCTGAATTTTGCAAATGTTTAACCAGTCATGATCCCATCTAGGTGTAGTTTCAGATAAAGAGGCATGTCTAGATTAATTGTTCGCTCCTTTTATTGCATTCTTCTGACTATTGAAATAAAAACTTTTGCCTCTGGTTGGAAAAAAATAAGGTTGTAAAGGGCTTTAAAGGCCAAACAGAGTTTACATTTGGCCTTAGAGTTAACAAGAAGCCATTGGAATTTGAGCAGGGGAATGACACAGTGGGGTCTACATTAAAGAAAAGGAAGAAACAACCAAGAAGGCATGAAGATAGTAATATGTAATATTAGTAATAAGTAATAAGTAGTATTATAGTAATACTAATATGGTGATATAAAAACAGTAATAAGATGATACAGGGAAAGATGCCCAGATAATCAATGAACTCACAACATCAGAAAAACATCGTTTTCAAAGTGTACCAATGGATTTCATTAAATTATCACACATTAAAGCCCCTCTCATGACAGCTGAATATCTTGCCAGTCAGCCTCACCATGGGAGACTGCTTAGGATCCTAGTTGCCTTTTCCTAAGCCCACAGAATACCCACCCACTACCCGGGCCCATCACATAAGCTATTAAAACTTAAAGCTGCAGTGAGACCCTTGGGACATCTCATATAATATATTACTGCATGACTCTCAAGACAAAAGGCACAAAGGCGTCCTCTTTTCTTTGTCATCCCCCACCCATGAGTTCCAAAGCTTCCCTGGTGCTCCCCATCCATCCTCCGTCCACTCTGTCCTTTGACACTTACTTGATGTGTTCTTTTCTTCCAGAGCCTTCAATGGTCTTGGCTCCCCACCGCTGTTCCTTTTCAGAGATGTCATTCTGTAAAAGAGAACCTTTGGGAATAAGGGTTCAAAAGGAAGGAGGGGCCACCAGGACCTCAGGAATGTCCCACTGGGGTCTGGATACTTTCCCTTATGTTCTCTGACTGCTAGGAGACTCTTTAGAGACCTCCCATCTGCTCTAACCCCACCTTTCTCCAGTTTGAAGTCTAATCAAGGACTATTGATAGAAGAAGACTCTTATCTGCCACATTTGTAGTACCACAGATACTGAACCAGAAGGGACCTTAGAAATCATATAGCTTAAGTCCTTCATTTTATAGATGAAAATAATAAGACCAAGAGAGGCTACATAACTTGATGCCTCTTTTCTCTCTTCCATTTCCTTCCCTCTTCTCCAACTTCAACCCATCCTTAGATCCCATGCCAAAGGGACACGATCTCCTTCTGCTTTCCTCAAGACATTCAACCACTCCTCTGTGCCCTTACTCATTACCCTCAATGCTAGATGAGGAGTCTTCGTGCCTCATCCATGACAGTTGAATAGCTTGCATGGGAGATTCTTTAGGACCCCCAATAGCTTTTTCCTGAGGCCAGAGAACCCCCACTAGCTATTTGGACCCATAATACTTCCATACTCACTACAAAGTCAGGATCTGTGTCCCAGTCGTCACCTTGTGTCTCCACAGAAACAGACACATCGTGCCCCACCACCGACTTCCACATCTAGGGATAATGCAGACAGAATGCACATCAGCTCTTGTGGCTACAGAGATCTTATGAATACCAGTAATATATAGCAACCCTCTCACTACAACCACCAATCTTCTTTTGACCATTATCCTCTAACTAGTAAAGTCAAAAAACACTTATTAAACACCTACCTTGTGCCAAGCACAGTGCTAAGCACGTCAACGACGCCTTAAACCCCAACAGAACCTTGGTTAAAGCCTTCTCCGTGTGGCCCATTGGAAATCATACACACAGTTTGTATAACCTCTTATACCCTGTAGGAAAGCAATAGCCAATAACACATAAACAAACCTCCCTTCCTTTTCTACTAAACAATAAGTCTTCAAAGAGTTCTTAAATGAAACTCTTTAGGGTATTTCCCCTGGCATGCCACTTGGGATTTTATGTAGTATCCGAATGACCATTCCCAGGTCCTCAAACAGGTTCTTGGGCCCTTATACCCCAAATAACTTTTAATAATGCCCTCTATCACCCTGCAATGAACAAATAAAACCCAAAATTGGATGTTGTATAATTACAACGACCAAGATTGGTTTTGGAGAGGAGTTAAGGTAGTGCATTTCCTCCCACTTCCTTTCTTTGCAAAGGTGGAAGATGGATATGTAATACTATATATACTGACAGACGTGGTTGCTTTATTTCCTTTTTTGAAAAAAAATATTTGTGTGGGGTTGGGGAGAGGAATATAAATATAAATGAAGGTGTGAAAACAAAAGATATCAATAGAAATAATCTATATATTTTTAAAAAGTATTCTTGCATGCACTTCCTCTTGAGAAGCCACTCCCCTTCCTTCTCCATCTTCTCTACACAGTGCCCTGGGAGACCACTCTTCACAATGTTTTGAAGGACAAGTAATGCTAAAATTCCCCCAAATCTCCTCAGGGGTCACTAAAAGCGTAAGTGCTGGGAGATTGACCCTCTTGAACAGTTACTGGAACAGTTTAAGTCACCAAAACCATCCTGGGACCACATATGCCAGTTAGTCCTCCAAACATTCCCTCGATCCCCATCGTACCCTCCTAGAGTTTCAATTGTCAATACAAGACCTGTGTTCCTACCCTCCTATATTCCACCTTGCCAGATCTCCTAGGACTCCCTCATAACACGGGAGGCTCAGCACAGGAACCCAGAAAAAGGAAGTTTCTGAAATTTTACTATCTATTCAGACTGATCTGTAAGGGATCCCCTCTGCTCACTCTTTCCCACGCTCTTCCAACCATCCTCTGCCACAAACTCCAGCTCACTGTAGCTCTTTGAAGGGAGATGACCAGGGGAGGAAGCCCTGATGTGATGGCTAGGGAGAGGCAAGGCAAAAGTCAACATCCTGAGATTCAGAGTAGCAAAGGGATTCTAAGTAAAGGGCTTAGTGTCCATTTCTCAATCATTTCATAGGATCTTGGAAACCGGTTAACCTTGCTTTATTGTTTCCTCAGCATCCCAGCATTTGCTACTCTACTCTGTTGTATATCCATTAGTATTTCCCGGTATATTACAATGTTTCATGTGTGTGTTCTGTCTCTCCAACCTGACTATGAGCTCCCCAAGGCAGAGACTTACTGATTTCTTTTGTATTCTTCTTCCTAGCCCAGTATATAAAGCTTATCAGATATCTAACAAATGTGCTTTAAACAACAATAACAACAGAGGAAAACCTAGAGAGTCCCCTTCTCTGCTTGAGTTTTGTCCTAACTCAGTCCTGAATCACTTCTCATGAGCTCTCTCCCGTCCACTTTAGTCCCCCTCCTCAAGTCTCTCTCATCCCAATTTCTTGTCATTCAAGGCCCAAATGTTTCAATCAGGACCTCCCACACCAGGGGCTCTGGAAACAGACAGGACCTATGAGGTTCCTCTCCTTTCATCCTCGTCACTCTATTTTCCAACTCCCACCATGGCTCAGATCTCCTACCTCCAATGATAAGTTTCTCCCTTCTGGGAATCACAGTTTGATTCTTCCTGAAGATTCTTCTCGTTCTCTGGTTGTTGCTGCTGCTGTTGCTGCTGCTTCAGAGTAAGAAAGTGCTTACTACTTAAGTTCCTGTTTTAGGTTGTTTTCATTTCCTGCTGCCCTAGTCCATAGGGCAACTTCCTGAAGTCTGAGTCAGCTTAGAGGATTGTTCAGTTAAATGAAAAGCAATTTATTGAGCTTCTGCATGTCCAGCATTAATGTACTTGATACAGAAATAAGGTCCTGACTGTTAAATAAGTGACCATCTTCTTAGAGGCACAAGGCTATAACCAAGTGGAACATCTGGGGATGCCTGGGGAAGGGCTGAAAATTGTTCCCTCTGCACTAAAATTACCTTACAAGGTGTCAGATTTGGCATTAAGCAGTAGTCCAAGGATTCAGCAGTGTCCAGGATTTCTGCAATGGTAGCAGATGCTTTGCATCCTCAGGCTACTGTCTTGTACCAGCCTCGAGTGTGGAGTGTGTCTGTAGGGTACCAACAGAGGATGTGTCTCTAGTGTTGCTGCTCTTCCTTTCTTTGGCTATTGGAATGGTGAATCAATTATATAAGCACATTAAGTATAACAATCAATTAAAACTCATTAGCTGGCCTGATGCTGGTCAATGCCTCAACTAGGCACTGATTTTGCCATGCTCTATAACTATTTCTAGGGTTCAAAAGTACAAAATTTGTGCCTATAGACTTGCAGACACAACTGGATGAAATCAACCAAAAATTGGGACCTAAAAAAAAACAAATTGGTAGGACAACTTGTATATTCTACTGGAATCACACTTGATTTTTACTCATGGGCTTCTTCACAGCCCGGAGATTCTTGAAAGCAATAAGGCAAAGCCATTGGAACGCAAGCTCTGGAAAATTCTGCTAAGGTGGATGAGATTAACATACAGGCTGGCTGTTTATCAAAGCAACAACTTAGCAACAGGAAAATCCAGAGTGGGATGTCAACAGAAGTTGGTCAGTAACAAATGTTTTTTGAAAGAATAGCTCACAAAAAAAAAAAATAGCAACTGGTTGATTGGCTGGCTCCAAAGACTAGTGATTAATGGAGAAAGATATTTGCAGTAAAGTGACCCCCAAAATCTGTACTAGGACCTATATTCTCTAATGTTTTTAGCATTTACTTGGATAAAGGCATAGATGTCATGCTGATCAAATTTGTAGACGACACGAAACCGGTAGGGGTAGTTAAAATGTTGGACAACAGACTGGGAGGGGTACTTAAAATATTGGACAATCAGACAACACAAAAAAGATCTCAACAGCCTGGACCAGGAGTTCTAAACCTGGGGTCCATATTTTTTTAAAAATATTTTGATCACTGTATTTCAATTTAATTGGGTTTCATTGCAATCTTAATAGATTTTATTTTATGCACTTAAAAACATTCTTCTGAGAAAGGGTCCATAGGTTTCAGTAGACTGACAAAGTGTTCACTGATAACAAAAAAAAAAAGTTACATGACCTTGGGCTAGACAATTGGGTTGAATATAGCAAGATGAAATTCAATAGGGATCAGAATTAAGTCCTACACTTGGGTTCAAAAAATAAGTGCACAAGATGACAGTTCATATGAAAAATGATCTGGGGAGGGGCAGCTAGGTGGTGCATTAGATAGAGCTCCAGCCTTGGAGTTAGGATGACCTGAGTTCAAATCCAGCCTCAGACACTTTGCTGTGTGATCCTGGGCAAGTCACTTCACTCCAATTGCCTCACCCCCAAAAAAAAATTATCTAGGGATCTGAGGGAACTACAAGCTCCATATGCATAACATGGCTGCCCAAAAAGCTAAAATGATTTTATACTGAGTTAAGAACAGAGTAGCATCCAGAACAAATGAGGTAATAATCAATTTGCATCCTGCCTTTGCCAAGCCATTATTATCATGCTTAGTCCTAGCTTCCACATTTGAGGAAGGGTATTGCTCTCCAGTGGAGAGGAATGGGCCACTCTAACAGGTAATGAGTTTCTCCTCAATGGAAGTCTTCAAGAAGAGGCTGGATGACCAACCATTTGTCAAGGATACTGTAGAGGAGGCTTTCCTATCAGGCACAGGTTGGATGAGGTGACTTCCTGAGGCCCTTTCCAATTCAGATTCTGGTAGTTGGTGATAACTAATGGAGGAGTCAAGATTTGCCTCAGTAGAGGAAGTATGAACAGCAATGAAATGACTACTCTTTTGGAAAGTATTTAAAGAAGTGGGAAAAGAGTATGAGCTGTAATAGAAAAAAAGGGTGGTTTTTTTTAAGTTGGTGAGACGCTCTGGGCCGTAAAAAATGTTGGATGAATACTCATTTTTGCATCTCTCATAAAGGCTAGTGCCGAAAGAGAGAGGCCGAGGAAGTAAGGGAAAGAAAAGAAAGGTTAGAAACCACTAGTGTGAGAGTAAGAGTGGGGGAGTAGTAAAAAGCATGGGCAGCATAGGAAGGAATACAGCATATTCCCAGGCAGGAAAGAGACTGATGTACTAAAGCAGAATATTTATGCTCCAGAGTAGGAGGAGATAACATTGGATGAGAGAAGAGAAGGTCACATGATAGAGGGTCTTGAATGCTGCGTTGAGGGGCAGGTAGGTGGCACAGTGGATAGAATACTGGCCCTGAAGTCAGGAGGACCTGAGTTCAAATCTGGCCTCAGACCAAACACTTGACTCTTACTAGCTGTATGACCCTGGGCAAGTCACTTAACCCGAATTGCCTAAAAAACAAAACAAAACAAAACAAAAAACTATCTTGAATGCTGCGTTGAGGAGCTTAGAATTGAGGTAATAGGTATTAAGGAATCATTTTAGGTTTCTGAGCAAGACAGTGATAAGACAAAAGCAGAAGTTTGAAATATGAATAATTTGGCTTAATGCGTGGTATGAGTTGGGGGAAAGAGAACTGGAAGTTGGGGAAGATCAAGTAGGAAACCATTCTAATGAATGAAGTGAGAAATGATAAACCTCTGAATTATGATAGTATTTTTGGCAGAGAGGGAGGAACGAATAAATAGATCAAAGCAAATTTGGAAGGAGCTCACTAATGGAGTGTCATGGAATTATGATTATCTTTGCTCTATTCAACATTTTTACCAATTACTTTGATGAAGACAGGTGGCATGATAATCAAATTTGTGAATGACATAAAGTCCAGATGGCAACCATATGACAGATGTATGACAGATTGGCTCCATCTCCTCCCAATTAGCCACAGAAAGTCCAGACATCTGAAGTTAATCAATCAAAAAATGAACTAGAGGTTCAAAAGTGGGAATAGGTCTTTAATGAATTTGAAAGGATCATAGGGGTTTCAGGTCATTGGCTTAAAGTAATGACACATAGGAAGTTGTTGTTCATCCTTCCTTTTAGAAGAGGACCAATGACATCACAATGTTGGGTTAAAACAGTGGATTATGGGTGATGTCTTGACTTGTGCATGAATTGCATTAAAGTGAGGTGGAACTGGGCAAAGACATTAACCTTACCCTCACTTCCAGAGTGATCAAAGTCTAGTGGCAGGACACAAGTCAAGACTACTGGCGATGGCTTGGGATGCAGTGGATGACCTTGGCATCTTCGAGGCCTGACCAAGCTCTAAATGTTCCACAGTACCTGCTTCAGTCACCTTCAAGGCCACTGGAACAAATTATTCTCATCCAACCATTCTACCAGGGAAAGTTTCAAGTTCTTGGGATAGACATCCCTCTAACTTATACACAGGTTTGAGGTCTGTCAGTTACATTCAACCTGATTTAGCCCATCTGCCAAGGCTACATACAGCTTCTTAGAGCCACAGGTTAAGAATTGGTTGAAAGGTAGACACCAAAGGTGGATGAGCCACCCTGAAAAGGGCTCAGCAAGCCCTCACACCAGAGGTGCTAGTTCTGAACACACCATACCCTTCATATAGGAAATATCCTGTGATTGTCTGAAGAAAACCAGTAATGCCCTATGTTATGAATGGAAAAAAAAAAACAAGACAGTTCAGAGCCAGTCAGTGAAGAGGTGGTAGAATTCATCAGTGAGAGACTCTTAGAAGGGAATTGTCCTTGTGGATAGGGGTTAAGGTGGAGGGTGTAGGGGAGAGTTTTCTTTCTTTATTCCCATTGCCCAGGTAATAATTTTGTGAACTTCAAAAGGTAGGAAGAGCTGGCCTTCCCATCACTGTCATTAACAGTGTTCACCAGAATTAATAGCAGTGTCCCTGGAGCAGTAGTGGCTGACAGTAGTATCCTGCCTCAGGATTTGAGAGCTATGTTGAGTACAAACTAGCAAAACTGAGGAAAGGCAACCTCATGGAGTTTGATCCCTTTGGGCAGAGAGAAGGGCAGGTTATGGACATTACAAAGGCATTGACCCTCAGAGCCTAAGGGGAATTTTTCGAGGATTCTACAAAGAGGAAAAAGGATATCAGGAGCTGTGATTTGCTCCTTTGCTACACGTTCTTTGCCACTCCTCCTGGGCTTTGGGCTTGAGCCTACTCTCCCCAGGGACTTTGTGTGTACAAGAGGAGAGCATACCCCTGTTTGGGAGGATTTCTTTTGGTAACATCTTTCCTCTCAATATCTGCTTAATAAATACCATTTCTATAAGTTAAGTCTGGCTGGCAATCAATGGGAAATACACCAGTGGAGACTCATGAGCTAGAGTTCCAGAAATCTGTGGATGGCATCCTTTGTTTCAGGTTCTATCCCTTTCTTCAGGCTATTATTTATCTAATTTGTTCCACTGCTCTACTTTTCTATTTTCTTACCCAATACCAAATAGTTTGATAATTAATGGTTGGTAGCACCATTTAGAAAGCATGCAGGGCCTGAAGTTAGGAAGACTCGTGTTCATGAGTTCAAATCCGGCCTCAGACATTTACTAGCTGTGTGACCCTGGGCAAGTCACTTAACTCTATTTGCCTCAGTTTCCTCATCTATAAAATGAACTGGAAAAGGAAATGGCAAAACATTCCAGTATCTTTGCCAAGAAAACCCCAAATGGGGTCACAAAGAGTCGGACATGACTGAAATGACCAAACAATAAGATGGACAGACCAGGTGGGTCCTTGTGTGTAAAGCATTGTGGTA